CCGATTATCAAAGGAAGGAAAACAGCAACTGATTTGCAACCATTAGCTGTAAATTCTATTCTATATATTGTATATTCTGTTCTTTTTTTAGTTTTACTTTATTCTACTTCATTATTCCATCTTACTTTATCGTTATTACAGGTGGTCCTTCACTTACGACCACAGTTGAGCCCGAAATTTCTGCTGCTAAGTGAAATATTTATTGTAAGTGAATTGTGCTCCAGTTTATGACCTTCCATGCTGCAGGTTGTTAAGTTGGTGACCCACTGGATCTAAGTGAATCTGGCGTCCCCATTGATTCTGCTCATCAGATGGCCATAAAAGCGGATCACAATTGCCCTCAAAACTGAGGGAGTTGCAAAACATTAGGATTTTGGTCAAGTGACCATGGGGGATGCCGCAACTGTGATAAGTGTGAAAATAAGCCAATTTTTTCAGCTGCCCTTGTAATCTTGAACAATCAGTGGATTCTGGTAAGTCAAAGGCCGCCTGTAGCTTTTCTGGTTCTTTATATTTTTGCAAGGGGGAAAAAAAAACATGGAGGAAAAAAAACACCATCTTTAGGAACAGAAATCCTTCTTTCTTGCCCTGGAGGTTCTGCTTAACCTAGGTTTAAGGGTGTTGTGTGAATGCAGCTTCCAAGCATCCGAACCAGAGGCGGTGATGCAAATGTTGCACCCCCCAGCCTAGCAAATAATTAAATAACCAGAGGAATTTTCTTTTCTGAAAATTCAGGATCATCTGTTGAAACATAGTCATTAAGCGAATCACATGGTTGTTGATGAGACTTTGCTGTTTTTCTTTATAAAAAGGAAAAAAAAAATTATCCTGGATAAAAGTCAATTCTAGCAGCTGCATTTATTCCTGTTGTCTCTGGAAAAACTCCACCTGTTTTCTGCAATTTTGGTGGAGGGGAAAAGCGGTGAGAAGCGTAGAAAAAAAAAATGAAGGTGCTAAACTCTGCGTCCGTGTGTAAGATGTTGCAGCCTGCGTCAAACAAGATTTTTGCACTGCGACATTTGTGACCCCCGTGGAAATTTCTCTACTGCCGTCCCTGGCTGCACCGGTTGGATAGCTGCCACGCTGGGAAATGCATATTGTCAGACAAAAGACGCTTAAATTTTTTTGGGGAAGGCTGTTGTAGCAACAAAAGAGAGGGGTTTCTTTATTCATACAGGTGGTCCTCAAATTAGGAGCATCGTTGGGTTAGGGTTCGTGATGGGTGAGGTTGTAAAGTAAGACATCACGTGACATGATCTGATTTTTTTTAAAAAAACAGCTGTTATGTGAATGCTGGTGAATGTTAAGTGGATTACACGGTTGTTAAGCGAATCACATGGCTGTTAAGTGAATCACATGGTCATTAAGCAAATCACATGGCTGTTAAGCAAATCACATGGTCATTAAATGAATTCTATGGTTGTTAAGCAAATCGCATAGTTGTTAAGTGAATCACATGGCTGTTAAGCGAAACACAGTCATTAAGCGAATCACATGGTTGTTAAGCAAATTGCATGGTTGTTAAGTGAATCACATGGCTGTTAAGCGAATCACATGGTCATTAAGCAAATCACATGGCTGTTAAGCAAATCCCATAGCCGTTAAGTGAATCACATGGCTGTTAAGCAAATCACATGGTCATTAAGCAAATCACATGGCTGTTAAGCAAATCACATGGCCATTAAGTGAATTGCATGGCTGTTAAGCGAATCACATGGTCATTAAATGAATTCCATGGTTGTTAAGCAAATCGCATTATTGTTAAGTGAATCACATGGCTGTTAAGCGAAACATAGTCATTAAGCGAATCACATGGTTGTTAAGCAAATTGCATGGTTGTTAAGTGAATCACATGGCTGTTAAGTAAATCCAACTTCCCCCAATGATTCTTTGCTGGTCAGAAGCTCATTAGGAAGGTCACATATGAGAGATGCTACAATCATATTGTAGATGTGAATCGGTTGCCAACAATGGTGGGTTGCTGCCAGCGTTACTGCTTCGCACACGCTTTTGCTCACTCCTGCACCCACTGTGCATTGCTTGCGCATGTGCAGTTGCCTGTAAATCCTTCTGCGCATGCTCAGAACATTGTAAAATGATTAAAAAACATGCCAGCAATGGCAAGGGGAAACGAGGGAACCAATTCAGGGGCGTGGCCAGCCTGCTGTCCCCTACCGGTTCGACGACCCAATTTCCACTAAATTGGTGGATTTGCCAAAACCGGTGTGAACCGGTAGCAACCCACCTCTGGTTGCCATGTGTCCAAATTGTGGCTCTCTGATTGTGCGACGTCATCATGGCGACGATGGGTCGTTAGTTACATTTCCCGAGGCCTTTGTAACTTTTAACACATTGTTATGCAAACGGTTGTCAGTCAAGGACTGCCTCTATAGTCACCCATCTCACATGAAAATGAATGGGGAGGCGTGTTCCTTCCTGAAACCCTTCAGGTAGTCCTCGACTTACAACCGTTCATTTGATGACAGCACAAAATTACAGAGGCACTGAAAAAAGGCACGTTTTTCACACTTACGACCGTTGCAGCATCCCCAGGGTCACGCGATCGAAATTCAGACACTTGGCAACTGACTCGTATTTATGATGGTCGCAGTGTCACCGGGGATCCCCTGATCCCCTTTTGTGAGCAAAATCCATGGGGGGAAGCCAGATTCACTTAACGACCATGTGACTCACTTAACAACTGCAGGGATTCACCTAACCGCCATGGCGAGAAAGGTCATAAAATGGGACAAAGCACACTTAATGAAAGTCTTCCTTAGCAATGGAAATTTTGGGCGGTCGTAAGTCGAGGACTGCCTGTACCTTCACGTGATCTGTAATGCTGGAGATGAAGGCGCCACTTGAACTCAGAAAAAAAATATTCATATATAATCAAGACTGTCTCACAATCATGTAAAACCCAGACATTCAGAACAGGGAACAAGGGGGAAAATTGAGTAAAAAGCAATAAAACAGTATAAAACTCTTGATTGCTGGTTTCCTCCATCAATTTCCCCTCCACTTCAGAAGAGGGAGAGAGGCTTCGCAAATGTCTCATCTCCTCAAATAATCTTTTCTAAGGAGAGAAAAACGACAGTCGAAGTTGAGGGGGGAAAAGCCCTTTACGACGAAGAAGACCCTACAAAACCTAAACGTATAAAACTTTTTAAAAACTGGAAAGGAAAGAATTGCATAAAATACGGTAGAAAACAGTTTAAAAACAGAAACGACAGACAGACAATAAATAGAAAGATAGACAGGCAGATTAGCAGGCAGACTGATGACAGGTAGGTAGGTAGGTAGGTAGGTAGGTAGGTAGGTAGGTAGGTAGGTAGGTAGATAGATAGATAGATGATAGATAGATAGATAGATAGATANGAGTGGTTTCTTTCCTGATTATTAAATTAAGTTGCAGCTGACACGCACCCAGATTTTCAGCCTTTTTTTGAAGGGAAAAATGTGCATCTTATACTCTGAAAAATATGGTCTCTCTCTCCCTCTCTCTCTCTATCTATCATCCCTTCCCTCCTATCATCCATCCATCTCTCGTCTATCTATCTGTCTGTCTGTCTGCCTGCCTGCCTGCCTGCCTATCTATCTATCTATCCATCTATCTATCCATTTATCTCTCAATCTCTATCTATCTATCTATCTATCTATCTATCTATCTATCTATCTATCTATCTCTATCTCTATCTCTCTCTCTCTCTCTATCTATCTATCTGTATCTCTCTCTCTCTCTCTCTCTCTCTCTCTCTATCTATCTATCTATCTGTATCTCTCTGTATCTACCTACCTACCTACCTACCTCTCTGTATCTCTCTCTCTCTATCATCTATCTATCCATCTCTCTCTCTATCTATCTATCCATCTCTCTCTCTCTCTATCATCCATCCTTCTCTCTATCTATCTCTCTATCTCCATCTATCATCTCTCTCCCTCCCTCCCTCCCTCCCTCCCTCCCTCCCTCCCTCCCTCTCATCTAGTGTTATTCGCATTTAACGACTGTTGCAGCATCCCCAGAGTCAGGTGATCAAAATTCAGATGCTTGGCAACTGGCATGTACTTAAAGACGGTTGCTGTGTCCTGGGGTCACGTGATCCCTTTTGTGACCATCAGACACACCAAGTCAGTGGGGAAGCCAGATTCACTTCACAACGATCACTGGACAATTAACAACTAACTGAATAACTGCAGGGATTCATTTAACAACGGTGGCAAGAAAGGTTCCGGAAGGGGACAAAAATCAACATAACCACCGGTCTCATTTAGCAACAATTGTTGGGCTCAATTGCGGTTGTAAGTTTAGGAGAACTATCTGCTTATCCCTCTTTGTTCCCCTTTTCACAGCTTTCTGCCTCAGCTAAAATCAAGGAAATGACATTTCCTCCCACTTTTCTTAATTGAAACTGAAACAAAAAGGACTCCCAATATTTCCACACACTTCTCAGGGGTTCTCCCCCCCCCCTCAAGGCCCAGCAGTTCCCCCTCACTGAAACTGCCTTGGACAGTCACCCCTTGCGGATGCTGTAATCCCTTGGGGGGGGGTGGACTAGGTGACCTCAGGGAACACTTCCCATTCTAGGATTCTCAAAAGCAGTTGCTAGTGGAATGGCTAATCCAGGATGCGGAAGGCATTCACTGCACGAGGATGGGCACTAGAGAGTGACATTGAATATAGGAACTCTGCCAAGGAAGGGGTTAGACTAGATGACCTCAAGGGCCCCTTCAAAGTCGATTTGATTCCTTAACTATCTGGATCCTAGTATCTCAAGTTTGGCAGCTTGGAGAGGTGTGGACTTCAACTCCCAGAATCCCCCAGCCAGGATGTTTTAAGAGGGACGGACTTCCACTCCCAGGATCCCCAACCAGCATGCTTTAACAGGACTTCCACTCCCAGAATCCCCCAGCCCAGATACTGACTGAGAATTCTGGGAGACCTTTCTTATTGTCCTGAAATGGAGCTCTCCATTTTTAAGGCCCAAATCTTCCCCACTCACCAGGGTCCAGGACGATGTCCGGTTCCGGATCATGGGTGGGCTGAAGGAACGTGGAAGCCACCATCTTCTCCAGGGGTGTCAACCGTTGCCCGTAGGGGGTTCCGGCCGGGGGCTCCTTGGTAGTGATCTTCTTCTTGACATCCAGCCGCAGATCCCGCCATTTGTGCTTCAGGTCGTCAACCGAGCGCTCAGTGTAGCCGAGGAAGTTGACGTGGCTTTGAATTTGGCTCCAGAGCTGCTTGCGGCGTACGGGGTGCGCCCGGAACGTATCCGTGCCGTACAAGGCGCCAAAATACCGGACCACATTCCAGACCAGGGCCTCCGTTTCATCGTTGGAGAAGTTCGCTTTCCGTTTGCGTCCAGGGGCGGCGGCCAGGGATGCCGCGGACGAAGTGGACGGGGAAGGGTCAAACTGGACGCCCCATTGCTCGCTCGCCACGGCTGAGGGAAACATGGAGTCCTGGGCTGAAACGGTTTGCATGGAGGATCGTGAAAATTCAGGTGGAGGAAAGAGTGGGGTGGGGGTGGGGGTTTAAGGCTTGGGTGACCCTGTGGATTCGGCGGTCCGTGCGGTGTTTTCTGACTTGCGGCCGACTAAAGTTGTGGCCCAAGGTTGCGCAGTGTCATCTCGAGGACGTCTAGCAAAAGGCGGAGGGGGGGGGGGGGAAGGAAAAAGAATGACAAACTTTCAAAAAGATGTTGTCTGCATTGCAAGCCCTCATTTAGTGATCGTTCAAAGTTACAACCGCCCTGAAAAAAGTGATTTTCGAACAGACGTGCGTACGTTGTAGCAGCCCCGGGTCACACGATCCAGACTCAGGTCCCACGGGGGTCATGGGATCCTTTTTTTGTGGCCTTCCGACTAGCATGGGGGAAAACCGGTGATTCTGATTCACTTAACAACAGTAGCAAAAATGGTTGCAAAACGGGGCAAATCTCGGTTAACAACTGCCTTGCTTAGCCACAGAAATTTCGGGCTGAATCGCAGTCCTATGTCGAGGATTACTTACACATCACTGAGAGGGATGGAAGTTCCTTGCACTCTACATGGGGCTGCCCCTGAAGAGTGTTCGGAGACTACAGTTGGTCCAGAATGCAGCCGCGCGAGCGATATCGGGTGTACCTCGGTACACCCATGTTGCACCTATCCTCCGCGAGCTGCACTGGCTTCCCATCGGTCTCTGAACGCGCTTCAAGGTGCTGGTCATTACTTTTAAAGCCCTACATGGTTTAGGACCTGGATATCTGCGACCGGACAATGCCAGCTGGCAACCACTCGGGGGAGAGCCTTTTCTGTAGCTGCTCCGGCCCCGTGGAACGATCTGCCCGCAGAGATCCGGACCCTTCCCACTCTCACGGCCTTCCAAAAAGCCACCAAAACCTGGTTGTTCCGGCAGGCCTGGTTTTGTTGATCTATAAATTAGGTCCAGCCCCCAGCTAAGCCGAATGTATGTTGTGTTTTTAAACTGTTTTTCGTTTCTCTCCCCTAATTGTTATTTTTATTTTTTCTCCTATTTGTAAGCCTCCCGGAGTCCTCCGGGATTGGGCAGCATATAAGCTCATTAAATTACGAATTACTGTCCAATTGGGGTCATAAGTCGAGAACTATCTGTAACTATTAAAAAAAAAAATTTCACCAGGGGAACCTAGGAAAAATAATAAATAAATCCTGATTATTTTAGGTCTTAAGTTACAGCTCCAAGGAAAAGGGTTAAGGCTAGAACTAATAAGCGGGGGTCAGGGGGTCAGCCTAGATGACCTCTAGGGTCCCCCCTCTAAAGAGAATTCTAATTGATGGGATCTTGAGAACAATAGTCTAAGGCAGCTGAACAATCTCTGTTAGGGGATGCTCACCTCAGTTATGGGGGTGGGCTGGGGCGTAATAAGCTTAAAAATCAATGCACAGATAGTTCTTGACTTACAACTATTCATTTAGTGTCCGTTCGAAGGTACAGCACTGAAAAAAATGTGGCTCATGGCTGGTTCTTGTGGCAGCATCCTTTGGTCACATGATTGGCCTTTGCAATCTTCCCACCTGGCTTCTGACAAGCGAACTCAATGGCGGGGATGCTGGATTCATTTAACAGCTGGCTGCATGATCCACTTAATAACCATGGCAGAAAGTCATAAATCTGGGCAAAGACCAACTTAGCTATCGCTTGGCTTAACGAATGACATTCCATTGTTTGCTGTTAGGAGAATGTTTGGTTACATAGGTTGGAGATGTGTGGACTTCAACTCCCAGAATCCTCTCCCAGTCAGGGGGGGATTCTGGGAGTTGTGGTCCACACATCTCCCAAAGTGGAGAAACACTGCATTAGGAACATTTTGGCTCTTTTTTAATCTCCCAAAATCTTGAAATTATTTTAATTGTTTGGCTTCTCATTGCAAATTCCAGATTGCATGCCTCGAAGCTTTAAAGCATCAAATATAAAATTATATATAAAATAAAAGTTTTTTAAATGCAATTCAAGCTTTATTTTAAGCGCTTTTCCCCAAACCATCCGGGTTTTTTTTTTGCAAGGGTAACGACGAAAGGAAAAAAAAAACGATGAGAAATCTATTCGAAACGAACCGGGAAGATGCATTCCCACGCGAATTCCTCATCTTGGGGACACAGGACCCTTCCCCACGACCCCATTCCATCCCTCTTTTTCACAGGTTCCGGAAAAAAAACCCATCTACGGCCTGATTCCCAACGCCAAAGGGGGAGGGAACCTTCCACACGCTTTCACCGCGCTGACCCGCATCCCGGGCGCATGCCTGCGGGTAGCACGTGTGAAAGCGCCGGATCCGTTTCCGGCCTGACCCGCTCGCGGGAATACAGCGACCGGGTTTCGCCTCGAGCGATGCGAGAATTTCCCGGCTTTGGCCTCATTGCAAAACTCATTGCGGAGGAAGATGGGGCGCCTTGCACCCCCCAAATTAAGAATGGGGTGAATTGGGACGCAACCCGAAGCTAGCCGAAGGGTGCATTGCAGCCCCCGCTCCACCTTCCGCTTCGGGACCCCCAAAGCCCCCCTCCAAGGACAAAGGACCCTCGCCATGCAAATGGGGAAGAGCGGGTTGCAAATGCGCCCGCTGATCTCCGGAGCAAGGACGGCGGCGCTCCCATCCCGGGCAGCGCGCACCTCCGTGCAAAACGCGGGGATGGTTGCAAAGGGTCTGCCTGGTGAAGGGGAGCCCCCTTCCCACAATCCCAAAGCGGGTGGGGGGCGCGTAGATCTGCCCCACCCTTCCGGCCAGAAGAATACCTGGCGTCCGAGCGCGTCTTACCTGCTAAGGCTGTGCTGGTACTCCCGCTCTGGCTGGGGCGGCAGCAACAACGGGGGCTGAATGGCTGTGGGTCCCGCCCGGCGACGAAGAGGAGGCCCCAGCCGGCTACCCGCCCCCCGGCCCTGCCTTTCATCTGCTGGAGCCCGCGGGGGGTGGCGCTCCTGCGCGCCTCTTGCAAGGGCCGTGCACGGGATGGGCTACTCAGCTGGGCTTTTGCAAGAACCCCCAACTTTCTCCCCAAGTTTTTGCACTCCGACAAAAGGGTGTCCGCGCTCAGACTCTGGTCCAGAGGGGGTG